ATGTGTATATGAGTATATTACATAAATAAATTATTCTACTTACAAAAGTAAGATATCTTTCCAGTGTCATATTTCTATTGTTTTTCTGTTTTTCTGACATAACTTTTATAAAGTTTTTAGGTTGGAGTAATACACTATTTATTGTACTGAAAAATATCTCCTTGCCTATTGTCTGTTTCTTTAAATAACGGTGATCCTGAAGCACATATTACTAACTGCTGCTAGCTTTTCAAGCTTGTGTAACATGTATGTGTGATACGGATGTATGAGACATACTATTAAAGCTGACTTTCCCACCTAGAACAAGGTTGCAATCCAGCTGAGTTTTCACTTAAATTCCTATTTTCATTCCCCAAACTCTCAGAAACTGTTTACGTTATCCTGTGTTTGTTCTTGTTGCAGTTGACCTCAAAAACCTGGAAGCCCCACAGGAATTATGGAGAGTTCCCAAATTGAAAGGGTAGAAAATGGTACCTAGCCAGTGACTTAAGCCCCTTCCTTCTGTGTTCACTTGTGTGGTACTTTGTGTATGGGTGATTATAATGAAATACAGTCATTTTTTATTGAAACCCCATTGTAAAACTTTATAATAGATATATATGTGCATGCAAAGCCCTTATAGGTATTCTCCCTCCCTCCCTTCCCATTTAATTAAATAAATAAAGGCAAAAAAGAAAAATCATCAAGGTGGGATTGAACAAAAAGTCATCACAGTTCCATCCTTCTGCTCAGTGTGAAAGACCAGTGCTCAAAAGCTGGTGAAATGCTGTTACCAATCATGGGGTAGGAGCCCAGGAAACAGGAGTTCTTGCTGACGGGAAATGAATACCCCCAAGTAGAAAATCAGAAGAGTCGTAATTTGTGATGTATGGCAGCTCAACTGGGGGAAAAATGGTCCAGCTGCTGACAAAATCAGAAGAATGGAATCACAGAGGTATGGAGCAAATTAAGGAAGTGCTGAAATGCTGCCTGTGGGAGGTGACTAGTTTCACTGATAAGGAAAAAAGGAATGTGTTTCTTGGGTGTATGTCCCACATATTTGATTTTTAGTGCTATCCTCTAAAAAAGCAAATATTATGATCTTTAATGTCCACTGCTCTTAGTCTGATGCTTTGTGCTATTCGATAGCACACATCTTTTATTTCATAGTCCTTCGTACAAGATTGGGGTAGACAAAATGGTGCCCCCAGATAATAGACTCGGTCTTGTGGCCACCAGGCTTCCTGTCTTATCTCACTTTTAATATTTTTAAAATATTTTAATTAAAAGGAATTTTAATTAAAAGTATTTGAATTTGATTCCTGCTTTTGTCTGAATTGAACGTGTGTGTTTGAAGGATGCATTACACTTTTTGCTGTATTACATTGCTGTAAAAATAGCATTTGCTCTGTCTTGGTATAAATCACAGTCCTCAGAAAGACTTTAAAAAATGAATTGGTCCCAGTTTTGTTATTTTTATGAAACTATTTATTAAATAAAGGAAAACAAAAATGACTCCCCAAGAATACCATTGTATATATTTTCTTGTCTGGGCAACCATAAAACAGAAGGAAATTCTTTCCACGCCAGAAAGAATTCTTAGTGCAGGTGCGAGTCTTATGATTTTAATTTCTAATAAAATCCCCCTTAAATATGTTAATTTTAAGGACTGTTTGTCCATAAAATACTGCTATTGGCCTTCATGGAATGCATAGGTTTAGAACAATCGGTCGGACAAGATAAGTCATTTTGTGCTCCGCTTAGATGATCTGTCTCAAAGGCCATGAATGCAGAATATTCAAAACTAGTTCTTTTAATATAACCAAAGGACAGCAAGCATTTTCAGGTAGTGGGAAAGGAATCAAATGCTTTGTACTTTGGCATTGGGTCCTTTCAAACAATGCCAGATGCTTAAGAAGAGTTGTGTATGTTGTGTTCTTGATGTTCTTAGAGCTTCTCTTCCTGCGACGTTTCATTATCAGGCGAAGTGACATCATCAGTGCACTTTGTGGAGTGGAGTGGAGTTTGCTGGCTGTTTATATGTAGTAACTTGTCATATCACCCTTGACTGGGGCACTGTTTCTTCTTTGGTTGCTTTTGGGGTAGTGGTTGGAATACTGCTGACTGTGAGCCAAAGTGGGTGTTTGCAGCCTAGCCCATGCTTCTAGTATACACATGCACACAAACACAAATGAAACATGAAGAAGAGCAGAAGCACACGTAGACACAACACATTACTTTGTTACACAGAAAAAATGGGCATTGCTGGTAAAAAGGTTGGAATGAATCCTGGAAGTCGTGTTCTGCAGCTTTCCTTCCCTTATTACTCTAAGAAATGATGTAAAGGGGGCTTTACTATCTGTCTCCAAACAGAAACCTGAATAAAGTAGAACCAAATCAACTGTTGGAAAAAGACTGCCCTCCCCCCAAAAAAGTTCAAAACCAGGATGGAACTGACTGGGACAGCAGAGGAAAAATAAATCCCCAATGAATTTTGGGAGAAACGTTTGGGTTACAGTTCACAATGTTGCCCACACTTCCACCCTAAGCCTCCCTCCCTCTTTGCTCCTGATTGTATAACCAGGAGCAGAACTACTGTAAAAGGACTGAAGAAACCCAGAATTTCCCTGTGTTGTTTAAATCAGTGATGCTCACAAGTGAGCTTTCAAACATGGACACGATGGCTCTTGATTCAGATTTTGGATGCAGGGAAACAGAACAGTGTTTGTTTGAAAATGGATTATATTGTCTTGAACAGGCTAATCTAATTTCTGTGTTCTTTAATGAGAGGTTTTCAGGTTGGGGAGTAAGGCCCTTCCCCAAACTACAAGTCTCTCACATGTGGGATAGCTTAGCACGGGGTTGACTGTGTTTAAAATGTTTGAAATTGTTCAAAATGACTTTGCTCCTAATGCAACTTTGAAAACATGCTGCATAACTAAGAGAAGAAAGCTGATGCAAACATCTTTCCTAACGAAAGGAATTATTCACCACCCACAAGGAATGAATGCTTTTGAATGCATTTGTTGGAAGCTGTTAGGGCAGCAGTCGGAGCATTTAAAACACAAGAAACAAGATGGATTTCTGCTGTCAGACTTTGAAAGAAAATAAGTGACATACTTCTAATCTCTATATGGAAAGGTTTATAATATAGCAAAATCTTCCAGGATTAAATGGTTTACAATATATCAGGCAAGTTAAACAAAGAACATCTAAATTCTCTGTTTACATTATCTTGGTATTTGGCTGAGTTGCATTTTGAAGAAAGCACTTCCTTTTCTAATAAAACATTTTACTTGCTTGATGTATGTATTGTGCACGTGAGTGGGTCTGCAGGGAGGTGGTGGTTCATATCTAAAGCTTTCTGAGACTCAGGTTTGAGTTATAGCCTTGATTCAGAGCTCTGGGGAATCCCCTTGGAAATGTTTAAAATAGCAGCTAGATCCCAAGACTCTTGCATGACTTGGAGCGCCAGGAAAAAGAGGGCTGCAAAATAAAAAGCATCTTAGAGCAGGTACCAGCAGTCGACCCTGTGGTGGCATTAGGCTCTTGTTATCTTTCCAAAACTGCCTACCTTGATTATAGTAGTCCTGATTTATGAAGGTCCTATGCAGAGCCAGCCCTACTATGAAGCATAGAGTAGCTGTTTCCTCTGTGATGATATTATTGACTGACCCTGTGCTGCTGATTTTTTTAAAGCCACAAATTGTTGCCAAAAATTGCTGTACTCTTCCCTAAATATGATGATTATCTCTAGTTGAACTTCCTATCTCATCACCAAAGCTAAAGTTCAATGCTTCCTATTGCTATGGGTGATTTGTTTGTTTTAAACCTACAATGTTTGTTTTAAACAGCTACAATGGCTGAAAACGTGTCCTCTAATCCCTAAAGTCACGTTCCATTATCTGATCTAACTGAAGAATTCTGTTCCATTCCCCCCTTGAGATAAAGTTCAACTACCCATCTAGACACCACCATTTTTTCTGCTTTCGCAAAATCTGTTCTAATCATGGGCCAAAGATGTTAGAACCAGCACTAAATTGTACCGTATGATGAATAGATGATAAAACATGTTCACAATTCTGCTCACCACTTTAAGAAGAGGGTGGCCATATAATGTTTTTTCAACTACACTTTCCTTGGCTACAAAAGCAGAGTTGTCCATATGTAACTCTGTTGACCTTTGAAGAGGAGGAATCCATAATGGTAATACCTTTATTAGCCCAACTGAAGTTTTACAAAACTCTGGCAAGTTTTTGGAACTGCAGAGGTAGCAGATGAAGGGGGAGAAGGCCCTTTCAAAGCCCCCAGGTCTCTGATCTTTCAGAGCAGCTGATCTATGGGATCAACTGCCACCCTTGCAGGTAACAAGACTCTTCTCCTGTTTCAGCTGGGCTCCCGTTGATGGGGAAAGTGGCAGGTTAAAGGGGGTGAGTTTTGACCAGTGACTAAACTCTTGTACTTGCCTTGCTTTTCTGGGAAAAGCAAAGGAGGCCGAGTTCTGACAGGGGCTTAAACTTGCAGGTTTATCAATCTGTCAAAACCCCTGGCCAAGGATGGGATTCAATCAATCAAATTGTATTTATAGTCACAGACCAAAATTCTGGGTAAAACATCAAACAGCCAAGTTGCAATAAAACTCAAATATTAAAAAGAGAGATACATAGCTAGAGACATTCTTTGATGGCTCTACTGTGGTTGATACTTTTACTCTCTCCAT